AGGTGGTGTCGAACTGAAGGCTTTGGCTGGAGAAGCGCTTGGAATGGTGATATCCGTGTCCGATCCGGCGGCACTCAAACCACATGTTGTTAACATCACTGGTCCGCTAGTCCGAGTTTTGGGTGATCGTTATCCGGCCAGCGTCAAACTGGCTGTGCTAGATGCTTTGAGTAAATTGTTGGATAAGGTATGTCGTTATTCTCCCGTCTTGCAAATGCAGGCAGCGGTTTTGCAGGTTGATACATTACTCCGTCCTTTCCTTCCCCAGCTACAGTCCACTTTCTTGAAAGCACTGCAAGAGCCGTCATCACGACCTGTTCGACTTTCAGCCGGTGGTGAGTAGTCTCTCGTGATCCGGTTTCGCTCATCATGCTCTATGGTGCATCTGCAGGGGCTCTTTCGCGTTTGTTACGAATTCATATGAAACCGGAGCCGCTTGTTTGTGAAATCTTGAAGTTATTAGCCCATTCACAGGACCAATCTCTTCTGTGAGTCTCTACTTTTTAAAACTACTGTCATTCCCGATACGTTTCTGCTTTATGCTGCTCTGATCAATTTTCCCCTTTCTAGTGAAACGACGTTTGTTGCTGCTCGTGCTTTAATTGGTAAACTGACAGCCCCATTGTCGGATGCTACCATTCAAGAAGGGTACCGAGTGTGCGAGCTACAATATACGGTTTGTTTCCTAGAGAAATCATGTAGAAATTTTGAGTCACCATTCAGGTACCCGTGGATACTCCAACTGAGCTGGATACTTCGCTGACCATGTGTAGTGGCGCGTTCTATGGTGAACTTGCCGTTAGGACAAACCAGTTCCAGTCGAAGAACATCTTTAAAGGTAGGATTGCAACAATTTACGATATCGATGTTCTGACCTTTTTTAGACGTTGAAACCTGCTCAAAGCCACGCGTTCGTCAAGCTATGGCCTATGCTCTGCAGCAGATGTGTCAGGTCGGTTTTTTGATTTAGGGGTGATTTTGCCTGTTTTTGTTCTCTCCTTTCTTTTTTTAATCTCATCTTTTTTAGTCTGATGCAGCTACAGTTTGGTCGGAAGCCCAGGCTGAATGTCGCTCAGCCATACAAGCTGCTCTCTCAGCAGACTCTACTGTAGCCTGTTCGGCTTTGCGTGCTGCGGCATACATCATGATAAGGTTTTCTTTACGAGTCCCATATGTATATGCGCCGATCTTCATCGCGTTCTGCTTCTAGCGAGGGTCTAAGTCCTGACCGAGAACTTCTTTCTGCTGTGGGTCGTGCTTTGAGTCATCAAGCCGTAGAAGTTCGACGAGTGGCTGCTGTCACACTAAGTCATGTACTACATCAAGCTCCTGGCCAGTTGGGGAATGATCTCTTGAAGGTGGGCATTATATCCTTAGAAAATCGGAGTAAATTTGAGGTCCTGATTCTCTTTCTTTTAGCTCATAGTCCCACACCTTGTCAATGGAGCGAAAGAGAGCAACTCTGCAGTTCGCTCTGCTTCTGAATTGGCTCTAGTATATGCATTCCGCTTCCAGGAGGGGCAGGATGGATTTGATGTAGGTTATTTTAATATGCAGTTTACCTTTTTCATGGCTTACGCTAAAGCAAGTATTCGTTCACACTTTTCTTCCTTTGTAGCTTAAAGGCAGTGTCTGGGCAAAATTTGAACAAAGTTTTTTTTTCGCATACCTGGGCTTATCCATCCCGCTGTATCCGAAAATGCTACTTGAAATGTCGAAAACGGACTATTTCAGAAGCCGCCGAGGTTAAGACGCAGAGTCTTGGTAGGACCCTTCGTCTTGACT